AACTTCTACAGCCTGATGAAGGGGACCCTGCATGGCCCCGAAAGCGCTTGATGTTACTCTGAGTATTCGTTAGCATCAATAAATGGATTTGCACTGATATGGATCTGTGTCGTGCTGGTGACATCTTTCTACGTTACTATATCGAAGACCGTGCCATCCGTGGTCATTGCAAGCACCCGCAATCATCGATGGGAGCTCCGGTAAGGTGTGCTACAGGTTTTGGGACAGTTGGTGATTAGGGGGGCGCATTGAGGGACCTGGCCTTGGGGCAGCAGTGAGAGTAAATCCCTGTCTCCATCCACCCAACCCTCCTAAAGCGGCACCTGTACCCCCCCAGGCTCCGGCCCTGTCTCCATCCACCCAACCCTCCTAAAGCGGCACCTGTACCCCCCCAGGCTCCGGCCCTGTCTCCATCCACCCAACCCTCCTAAAGCGGCACCTGTACCCCCCCAGGCTCCGGCCCTGTCTCCATCCACCCAACCCTCCTAAAGCGGCACCTGTACCCCCCCAGGCTCCGGCCCTGTCTCCATCCACCCAACCCTCCTAAAGCGGCACCTGTACCCCCCCAGGCTCCGGCCCTGTCTCCATCCACCCAACCCTCCTAAAGCGGCACCTGTACCCCCCCAGGCTCCGGCCCTGTCTCCATCCACCCAACCCTCCTAAAGCGGCACCTGTACCCCCCCAGGCTCCGGCCCTGTCTCCATCCACCCAACCCTCCTAAAGCGGCACCTGGACCCCCCCTCCCTAGCTTCTGCCCTGATCTATCCGGTTCATTGCCCACCTGTCTCATCTTAAAGTGAACTGCTTGCCCTTCCATAGACGGGTGGAAGAAGCCCCACCCACAAACACCCTTTTCCTCAAATGTATGAAGGTGATTGGTTTGCGTTTCGCTCCCTATGCCTCGTGATAATAACATGCACCAAAGCTTTTCTGTTTCGGCCTACCCACCATTGCACCCGTTTTATGGTTTGTGTCCATGTCGGCCAATGAGTAAACAAGAAACATTTCGGCGACAAGTTGTTTTTTTGATACAAATCTTTGTTTTTTTAATCTCATGAGAACCAGCAGTGAACAGTGTATGCCCGACCCCTGAGAGTTGGTGCTAGGAGAGACAGAAGGCGTCATAAAGGAGTGTAAGACAATGATATATAGGGCACAGCGTTGTGCTTCTCGTCTAAAAAATAAAATGTACAGTCCTCTGCAATACAGCTACCGTTGGATCCCAGTCCCGGCGTTCTCGACGGCAGAACGTGCCAAATGAAGAGATTGGGGGCGGGACATGTCGCTCACGGGAAGTGCGTTGGTGACCGTCGGTCCAGCCTACAAGAACATTTGTTTTTTCCCGCCCTTTTTTTTTTCTATTTTTTAATCTTAAAATACAATTGGTGCAAAAATATTCCTAGTCGCAGCCGTGAAGGTGGACGCAAATAAACCGGCGGGAGCTGGGGGAGGGGGGATAGAAGCTCAAGTAAAATCATAAAATCTGCATAATAAATCTTTTACAGGACACATTCCTATATAGTTCAGTGCATATTAATAAATATGTTGTGTTCACGGTCCTAAGACAAGTCGCCATTGGGTGAGGCCTGCCCTCTCTGCGCCACGCCGGGGGGCGATATTCGGTCAAGACGGAATTTCGGCCCGATGTACAAGTGGAGACCTCATGGCTTTGGATACAGCTATTCTCGCGTGCTTTATTGCTTGAATTAAGTAGTGACACCCCCGCCCCCACACACACTTTAAGACAACCTCTCGCACTTTCCGCTTTACCACCTTGCGGTGAAGGAAAGTTATACACGCGAGGGTCCGTTCTCAAGCTCTCGGCAAGGTCTCAATCGTTGCGTGGTGGCTTTTTGGGGGATCTCTTGCCTATCCCGCGTTCTGTAAAAAGTTATCTCGATATAGTTTTGGCTGGAAGGGCATCCATGTTTTTCTTTCTCAGTCCTACCAATAAGTCCGAAGACGTTAAGGTTGCAGCATGGTGTGTGTGTAGGCGCGCGCGGCCTCCGCCAACCTTAGTTTGTGGTGGGGGCAGCGTGATTCAGTTGTAGTAAAGTGTTTGCGGTGTAGTTCTGGAAGAGGGGCTGCAGGAACATGCCGACCGTCCCGAAGACGCAGACGAAGATGAAGATCCAGAGGAAAAGGCGGTCGATCACCATGGCAACATACTTCCAGTCCTCGCTCACCTGTAAGGTGCAAATAAAGACGGGAATTGAAAAGAAATTGCCCGTTTCTACAGTTTTTTGTCACAAATTACTTTTTAGAGCTGCAAGAAAGCTGCCGTGCTGTTTAGCCAAAACACTCCTAGGGTTTGGAGTGGATCCCTAACTCTGACCCTAATACCCTAACTCTGACTCTACTACTCTGACTCTAATACCCTAACTCTGACCCAAAAGTCCTTACTCATTCCCTAATACCCTAACTCTGACCCAAATGTCCTTACTCAGACCCTAATACCCTAACTCTGACCCAAAAGTCCTTACTCATTCCCTAAATACCCTAACTCTGACCCAAATGTCCTTACTCAGACCCTAATACCCTAACTCTGACCCAAAAGTCCTTACTCATTCCCTAATACCCTAACTCTGACCCAAATGTCCTTACTCAGACCCTAATACCCTAACTCTGACCCAAATGTCCTTACTCAGACCCTAATACCCTAACTCTGACCCAAATGTCCTTACTCAGACCCTAATACCCTAACTCTGACCCAAAAGTCCTTACTCATTCCCTAAATACCCTAACTCTGACCCAAATGTCCTTACTCATTCCCTAAATACCCTAACTCTGACCCAAATGTCCTTACTCAGACCCTAATACCCTAACTCTGACTCTAAAGTCTTAACTCTGACTCTAGTACCTTAACTCTAACCCTTAAGCGCTAACTCTGACCCTACTACACTAATTCTGACCCAAATGTCCTTACTCAGACCCTAAGTAGAAAGATAGGTCACCAGCACTCCAAATAATTTAAATGAATAAGTCCTTTTTATTGGACAATTGTGTCACAATAGTGAAAAAGAGCCTTTTTGACTATTGTGACACAATTCTCCAATAAAAAGGACTTATTCATTTAAATTATTTGGAGTGCTGGTGACCTATCTTTCTACTTTGTGTTTTGCACGGTGCCATCCGTGGTAGTTACTACAAGCACTATCGTTTTTTTATTGGCCGGGACTGCTGAAAGGTGTGCGGAGAGCACCCTCACCAATTGCAACTTACTCAGACCCTACTACCCTAACTCCAGCCCTAACTCAGACCCTACTACCCTAACTCCAGCCCTAACTCAGACCCTACTACCCTAACTCCAACCCTACAGCCCTAACTCAGACCCTACTACCCTAACTCCAACCCTACAGCCCTAACTCTGACCCTACTACCCTAACTCCAGCCCTAACTCAGACCCTACTACCCTAACTCCAACCCTACAGCCCTAACTCAGACCCTACTACCCTAACTCCAACCCTACAGCCCTAACTCTGACCCTACTACCCTAACTCTGACCCTAAAGTACTTACTCAGACCCTGATACCTTAACTCCAACCCTACTACCCTAACTCTGAGCCTAAAGTCCTAACTCAGCCCCTGATACCTTACCTCCAACCCTACTACCCTAACTCTGACCCTAAAACACTAACTCTGAACCTAAAGCACTAACGCGGACCGTAATACCTTAACTCCAACCATAAAGCCCTAACTCTGACCCTAACCTTTCCTGACACTTCTCTTTCAATCAGCTCCAGGTGTCTAATCTGAAGGGCTGATGATCCCCAACCTGGACCGAGCACGCTCTTTCTATTGCTGCTGATATAAAGATACCGTATATACTCGAGTATAAGCCGAGATTTTCAGCCCATTTTTTTGGGTGAAAAGTGCCCCCCTCGGCTTATACTCGAGTCAGCGCCAGCGCGTCATCTTACTTACCTCGCCGAGCGTCGCGTCACTGCTGCTCGGTGTGCGGTGCTCCGAGCAGGGTCATCTGGCAGTCTCCGGGTCCTAATTTAGGTGGCCGGAGACTGCCAGATGACCCCGCTCGGAGCGCCGCACACCGGAGCAGCAGCGACGCTCGGCGAGGTAAGTAAGAGGAAAAAAAACCCCCGCAGCGCCAGTCCAGCAGGGGAGCAGGGATGAGTCAGCGGCGCGCTGATCAGGCGAGAGGAGCTCCAGGTGGGGTTGTAATTTAGCGGGCAGGCACCTCTGAGCCAGCTAAATTAGGACCCCACCTGGAGCTCCTCCCACTGGACCAGCGCGCCGCTGACTCGTCCCTGCTCTCTCCGTGATGTGATGATCGATCACCGACACACGGACACAGTGAGGGAGGGCGGGGAGGGGGGGGGGGGGGTAGAGAGAGAGATTCATTAAGCAATTGTATATGTATTGTCTGCACTGTATTAGCAGTATATACTACATATAGAGTATATACTGCTAATACAGTGCAGACAATACATTTACAATGATACTAACATGAATGTATTAAATGATCTGTATGTAGCCCTGTACTATGGATCCTTTAACCCATTCATGTTAGCAGAGGATCATTGTAAATGTATTGTTGCAGGCACTCTATATGTACATGTACTATATACTACATATAGAGTGCACTGAACAATAGATTTACAATTATCCTCTGCTAATATGAATGGGTTAAATGATCCGTAGTACATGATATGTAGCCCTGTACCCCCTTTTCCACTTACAGAGCTAGGTTATTTTTCTTTTAAATAAATATTCATGTAATTTTATTGGTATCTATCTACCAGTAGCTGCCTCATTTCCCACCCTCGGCTTATATTCGGGTCAATACTTTTTCCCATTATTTTTTTTAAAATTAGGTACCTCGGCTTATATTCGGGACGGCTTATACTCGAGTATATACGGTATTTAGAAAGTCCCTTCTCCTCCCCACAACTTTCTGTCCACCGACCTTTTATAATCACTCTGCGTGCTTGTAGGAGACTTTGCTCTCTTGAAAAAGATAATGTTGCCTGAAGAATCATTCGGGAGTATTGGATGCCTGTGGCCCCACGTGACTTAGTTACAGGACATCGTCATAACACAGGGGCCAGAGGATGAAACCACAGCACTCAGTGGAGGACCAGGCCTCCGACACCCCCCAATTCTTTAGGGACAAGCAATAAAGGACTGTGTTCTAATATTCTCCTTTGTCTACTTTTTTCAGAAGTGGCTGAGTCACTTTAATTATTTAAGAAGGCGTTCATCACATAAACTGCAGATAAGCGGAAATCAAACATTTCATTAGTCCTTTCATAACATACAGAAGCATAACAGAAGGTGTTTGCTTTCAGACTATCTATCTCTAATCAAATTGCAATGATTTCATTAGAGAGTTCTATACGAGTGCTGGGCAGAGTCTTTGAAAGACCCCTTAAAGGAGAACTATGAGGTGAGTGAAAATCACTCAGCCTCATAGTTCTAGCCGACGTGTGACAATGAAACTGTCCCAGGTCGGCTCAATAGATCGGGAAGCGAGAGAACACATAGCGTCGCTTGCTCACTCACTTCTCAATCCTGTCCCTGCAGAGAGCCCTGACTTTCACTCACGGCTCCCTGCAGGGACTCCCCCGCTCCGATCCTCAAGCGCTGACTGGCGGAACGGACGGGGGAGGGGGTGGGCACAGCAGGCTGGGTAGATCCAGACATTATTGTCGGGATCCGTCCGTCCCGGCTGCGGCGTCTCAGTATACCGCGTGCTTTAGCTCGCGGTGTACTGAGCTTTGGGTGACGGGAGGACGCTAGTTTGTGTCCTCCCGTTACCCTTAGGAGAACTATGGGGAAAAGCCCTAACCCCATAGTTCTCCTTTAAGTCCTGTGGAAAATCCACTAGGGGGCGGTGACACCATTATTCCGGAATCAGAATGATGGGGTCTTGCTCTCCTAGTGGGTTCTTGTTGGGTATATACAGACAATGCACTCCAGAGAGAGGAAACAGGAAGTTCAGGTCACAGCTGGGTAATGGCTGTGGAAACAGGGCAGGACATGGCGGAGGATCTTCATATTCATGTCATGGAACACAATAAACATTTATTGCGGGGGTTAAACCACACCTCACTGCCCCCAAAACTAAAAAAGTTTTAACAAGAGTGACCCCGTAAAGTCTACTTACGCTCTGGTCATCGTCTTCGCTCTTCATGTGGTCGGCAATGAAGCGCACCCCTTCCACCGCCTCCTCCAGGCCACAGAGACACTGTCGCATTTTCCCCTGCCGATCCCGGAAGCCATTGACCCCCTCGGGTAAATCGGGGAGCTGCCCCCCGTATTTCTTCACCGTGGCCTGGTTGACATAGCAGGTGCAAGATTTGGCGCTGTCTCGGAGGAAGATGCTCCCCGTGGCTCTCTCTTGGTTCTTCCTCTGTTGGCGCAGCCTCTGGCGGGCACAGTTCTGCCGGGGCTGCTTCATGAACAGCAAAGTGGGCAGCTTGTCTAGAAACACCACCTTGACCCACGGCGGCATGGTGTGCGTGGTGGGAGATCGGTGGTGCACGTTTAACACACAGACGCTGGTCACGATGGAGAAGGTCACCAGAACCATGGTGAACATCAAGTACTTGCCGACTAGCGGCACATCGAGCGAGGTGGGTGGCACAATCTTGGAAATCAGAAGCAGGAAGACAGTGAGAGCCAGCAAGACCGAGATGCACAAAGTCATCTTCTCTCCGCAGTCCGAGGGCAGATAGAAGACGAGGATCGCCAATGACGTGATCAGAATACACGGGATGATGAGATTGATGGTGTAGAATAAAGGTTTGCGGCGGATGATGAAGTCGTAGGTGATATCTACATACAAAGGGTCGTCTGGGTTCTCATTCCTCCTCCCCGGAAGTGCCATGATATCCCATTCGCCGCTGGGAGTGAAGTCGTCTAGACTGGCCACATCGCTCTTCAAAACGAGGTCAATCTCGGTTCGGTCGTAAGTCCACGAGCGGAATTTCATGGTGCAATTCTGCTGGTCGAAAGGGAAGTGCTTGACCTCTATTTTACAGGCGCTCTTGTAGATGGCTGGAGGCAACCAAAAGATGCTGCCGTCGTACGACACAACCGCGTTAGAGTAGAAGGACACCTCATACATGCCATCGGCACTAACATGAAAGAGAGAAGAGGAGGTTAGAACATGAGTTGGCTACCTGCCAAGAGCAATGTACAGTAAGCCAACACAGCCAACCAGAACTCTCATCTAACTGCCCTTTGACATTAAAATTATCCAATCTGCTATTCTAATCCTTCCAAGATGTTTTTTTTATTAATCTGGACAATCATCTGCCGGCTTCCTACATCCTCAGTGACCCATGTAACTTTGGGGACCTGTCATATGAAAATATAATGCTTACTGAAGACTACTCCACCCTCTTATTTTCTTGAACCCCCTGTACAGAGCCTTCTGCCTTTTTCCATATGGTTTGTTACAGCCCCATAATTCTTCTTATGTTCTAACCTTCAAATGGCCACATGCGCTTTTATGAGTTGCAGGATAACTGTACAGCATTAAGAAAATGGAAAGGCAGACAGACGCATCGTCATAGAGCTGGCATACCATAGTGGACCATTCATGGTCATACATCTGGTATACCATAGTGAAACATCCATGGTCATACATCTGGCATACCATAGTGAAGCATTCATGGTCATACATCTGGCATACCATAGTGAAGCATTCATGGTCATACATCTGGCATACCATAGTGAAGCATTCATGGTCATACATCTGGCATACCATAGTGAAGCATTCATGGTCATACATCTGGCATACCATAGTGAAGCATTCATGGTCATACATCTGGCATACCATAGTGAAGCATTCATGGTCATACATCTGGCATACCATAGTGAAGCATTCATGGTCATACATCTGGCATACCATAGTGAAGCATTCATGGTCATACATCTGGCATACCATAGTGAAGCATTCATGGTCATACATCTGGCATACCATAGTGAAGCATTCATGGTCATACATCTGGCATACCATAGTGAAGCATTCATGGTCATACATCTGGCATACCATAGTGAAGCATTCATGGTCATACATCTGGCATACCATAGTGAAGCATTCATGGTCATACATCTGGCATACCATAGTGAAGCATTCATGGTCATACATCTGGCATACCATAGTGAAGCATTCATGGTCATACATCTGGCATACCATAGTGAAGCATTCATGGTCATACATCTGGCATACCATAGTGAAGCATTCATGGTCATACATCTGGCATACCATAGTGAAGCATTCATGGTCATACATCTGGCATACCATAGTGAAGCATTCATGGTCATACATCTGGCATACCATAGTGAAGCATTCATGGTCATACATCTGGCATACCATAGTGAAGCATTCATGGTCATACATCTGGCATACCATAGTGAAGCATTCATGGTCATACATCTGGCATACCATAGTGAAGCATTCATGGTCATACATCTGGCATACCATAGTGAAGCATTCATGGTCATACATCTGGCATACCATAGTGAAGCATTCATGGTCATACATCTGGCATACCATAGTGAAGCATTCATGGTCATACATCTGGCATACCATAGTGAAGCATTCATGGTCATACATCTGGCATACCATAGTGAAGCATTCATGGTCATACATCTGGCATACCATAGTGAAGCATTCATGGTCATACATCTGGCATACCATAGTGAAGCATTCATGGTCATACATCTGGCATACCATAGTGAAGCATTCATGGTCATACATCTGGCATACCATAGTGAAGCATTCATGGTCATACATCTGGCATACCATAGTGAAGCATTCATGGTCATACATCTGGCATACCATAGTGAAACATCCATGGTCATACATCTGGCATACCATAGTGGACCCTTCATGGTCATACATCTGGCACACCATAGTGAGACATTCATGGTCATACATCTGGTATACCATAGTGAAACATCCATGGTCATACATCTGGTATACCATAGTGAAACATCCATGGTCATACATCTGGCATACCATAGTGGAACATTCATGGTCATACATCTGGCACACCATAGTGGAACATTCATGGTCATCCATCTGGCACACCATAGTGAAGCATTCATGGTCATACATCTGGCATACCATAGTGAAGCATTCATTGTCATACATCTGGCATACCATAGTGAAGCATTCATGGTCATCCATCTGGCATACCATAGTGGAACATTCATGGTCATACATCTGGCATACCATAGTGAAATATTCATGGTCATACATCTGGCATACCATAGTGAAATATTCATGGTCATACATCATAGTCATACATCTTCCCTTGCAGTAGGGCTACCCAACACACTGCAAGGTTTAAACAGCTCTTCGTTGTCTAGGGGCCCGCTCCCCCTGCAGTCTGCACTCACCTTTCCCCTCTCCGCTCTGGATGGTGGACTGTCCCTCAGCGTCCTCACATCTAATGCAGGTCTATGGAACTTGCATTAGATGTGATGTTGGCAGCAAACCTCTGACTGATGGAGCGGAGAGGAAAAGAGACCGAGGTTGCCAGTCTTGGAGCCAGTGGGGGTGAGGATCAGATTAGTAAGAGTGCTTTACTCCAGTCCCCTACACAAAAACAAGCTGGTATCCGTGCAGTGCAGGGGTAGCCCCACTGCAAGGGGAGGTTGTTGGCTTTGAGATAGGCTTTGTGTTATCATTACATTGAAAAATCAATCCCAAAAAATTGCCCTGTTGGGTAGCTGTAAGTTTTCCTACTCTGTGTTCTCTCCAGTTGCCCTGTAAGCTACGACACTGCCAGAGGATGGACTTACTTGTTGTAGAGGACGACATCCGGTAACCAGATGTGCTTGGAGGGTAGACGCACTTTCTTCATGTGGTCAAACTCGGCGGGGTTCCACGTCAGCCGGTAGTCCTCCCATTCCTGAAGTACAAGAAGCAGAGTTCAGACATGGTCACTTCGTCAAGTCCATAGTAACTGGGCAGAATTTATGGAAGCCGGTCGGGGACATTTCAGGGCCACAAAGCCAGCTTAGCTAATGGCACTTTTAATCAGAAGGAACGATGATGTAAAAGAAAAGGGTGGGGGTCAGTGTTCGTAAGGATGGTTTGAGCATCACCAAGACCATAGAGGTGTCCACCTTTTGCAAGGTAGTGATCTCAAGGGTACCTACCTGGAGCACGGCACAAAACATCTCATCGAAACATCAACTATGTGTGAGCCATGAATGAGCTATGGAAAGCCGGCACCAGACTGACATTGAGTATAAAATTGTCTGCCGGCCAACAAATGAGGGTTCAAGAGGAGCCGCCATGATGTAGACTCTGGCATTTCTGGGATCAGTTCAAAGGAACATATAGTAGGATGGATTTAAAAAGGCTTAGACCAAGGATAGGCAACCTCAGCACTCCAGCTGTTGGGGAACAACAAGCCCATTAGAGCATCAAAGACTTTGACAGCCACAGGCAAGACTCCCAGAGGACGAGACATGATGGCATTTGTACTTTCAGCACAGCACCCCTGGCTTATATTGTTGGCCTGTGCCCAGGGCCGCATTTACTCTCCCTGCTGCCCCAAGGCCAGGTTCCGCAATGCACCAACCTCCCCCCATTAATGGAGAGTGGCAACCAGATGACAGGGCTAGTTTTAATTTTTTTATTGTTTCTGTATTTTTTTTAACGTTTTCACTTTTTTATTTTTTTACTTTTTTAAATTTTTATTTATATTATCATTTACTTTTTATAATATTTTTATCTTCTTATTGTTTATTTTTTATAATTATTTTCTTATTTTTTTAATAATTTGTTTCTTATTTTTTACTTTTTAATCACCTTTTAATTTTTTATTTACTTATTTCTTTTTTTTTAAATGTATTTAATTATTTTTTTAATATTTTTTTTTTCCCCACCTAACTTTATTGCTATCACACAAGAGCTAACAAGCCCCTGTGTGATAGCAATTGGAAGTGACAGGTTCTCTTTACTGAACCTGTCACCTGCCATACAGGAGTTCTAGCACATCACTGTGACAGGTGAGAGGGGAAGACTGCTCTCCCCTCTCACTGTTTACACGGAGCGGCAGGGTTAGTTTTAACCCTGCCGCTCTGCTCCCTGCATCGGCAGCCGGGACTCGGGACAGGAGAGAGACTCGGCGGCAGGGGGAGGA